GGGAGCAGCCCGGCGGTGCCTGCCCGGGCAGCGGCGCCCGGAGCATCGCCCGGCAGCGGCGGCGGCTGCACGGAGCGAGCCCCGGCTCTCGGTCGGGCTCGCACATTTAATCGAGTCGCAGGGAGCGCGTCCTTGGGCATAAAGGCACGTTTGCTGCTTCCTCCCACGGCGGAGCACTGCAGCAAGTCACTCTCCGAGAGCTCGGGACCAGCAAAGGCTTATGAATGAAAAGAAATGCAGCATAAGTAAATCAATGCGGGCTGACTCCAGCCTATGAATAAATTATTAATTTGTGCTCATAGAAGAATCCTCTTGATACAGCAAATATAGGATTACAAGCTCCTCCACTGAGAGAGCAGCATACGGAGCAGGAGGGATTGGTCCAGGTATTTTTGTTGTTGTTGCATTTTAAAATCTACCCTCCCTCCTTTTGCTTTTATTCCTCTCCCTCTGCTTTTTTCTCACCTTCTTCTCCACTAAATGTGCAGACTTAAAATAGCAACTGAACTTTAACGTAAACAAGTATGGCAAGACCATGATCTGAGCATGGGCTGAGTCATCCTTGCATCCTACAATATAGCTCCAATGTCCGCTCCAGAATTCTAGTTTCTTCCCTCTGTAGTTAGAATTAACACAAAATATTCACTCTGCCTTTGTACACTGCTCTTATCTTAACATTTTCTGTCTTGAAGCTCGAGATGTAGTACCTGTATTTCTTTCCACATTAACATCTCTAAGAGCACTGAACGGTTTGCTTTAAATATCAAAACCTCTATTCAATACCTAGCTGACAAAAGCTTCCTGCTTTCTCAGAAGAAAGGAGAAGTTTAAAGATAGCAAGACTAACAGGGGAACTGTGCAGAACAGAGTAGCACAGCACCCTGCAACTTTCACCACCCACCAGCCTTCCCCACCAGGAATAGTAAATAGATCACATTTCTCTCTGTACTAGTACCTTCGTATGAAGGCACTAAAGAAAAAAAATTCTTAAAAGGAACACTTATTTTGTCTATTACTGAACCATTTTGGAAGTCCTGTTATCTGTGCTGCTACTGTGGGTTTCCTAAGCAGTGTTTTAAACATCCTGCCATCCTGTTTTAAGCATCCTGGTGCCATGTCACCAGGTGTTCAGCTTACCTACAGGCAGAAATGTAAAAATGCACATGGCTGACTAACAGTATATAATCAATTATGTGCTCCTTTGAACATATTACATAAACAACTGTATCTTTCCGAAGCCAGGAATGAAACAGACATGGTTGATTGACTCAATGCTTGTGCTGTTTACTTCTTTTTACGTGCTAAATACTGTCAGGCAGTAAATTCATAACCTCATTTTGTGAGATTCAAACAGTTCTTAATGTTAACAAAGATCCTTATCTGCTTTAAGCCAACACAGTGCCCTGATGACAAGTAATAGTTACTTTCATTTTTGAAAGCATTACTGGAAGCCCTAGAAACTTTTGGAAAGTACACAAAATGCCTTGGTTCAAGAGGCCAGCAAAATTTAACATAGATTTAACCCATTACTAATTATTGGGAAGAAAAGATGATAAAGTCATTAATCAAACCTTGACTTTACATTTACATACATTTATCATACATTCAATACTATATCAGACCTACAGTTTATGCATCTGGTGTGTGTAAAACTAGGCACTCACATTTGTTTTAATACAAAAATTTTATTTCTACTCTTGCTACTCTAAGAAACTAAGTTCACTGGAAAAAAAAATTTTGCTTGAAAGAACAATCTTCTTTTGTGTTAATAAACACTTGTGTACCACAGAGTGGTTTCAGCACCCTTCATTAATGTACACTGGGTATGTCCATGCAGGAAATCAGCTCCTCCCGACCATTCAGTGAATGGGAGCAAGGCTGAGCCATAACACTCACAGACCACTACAGGTGACAGCACAATCTGTCTGCAGCTGTGTCCTGGCCTGACCACTACTGACTATTCCTGCTATGCAGATCACTGCAGTCATCACACCACATTCAAAATTCGTGTTAGCATTTCCCCCATGTTGTTCCCATCAGGAAGCAGAAACTTTCCCTAAGCGAGTTTGCATAATGAAGGACCAAGGAAAACACAGGAAAAAGAAGTGGTAAGTTCTGCTGAAGAGTTTCAGTCCTTTTTACTGGGGATAGAGCAATGTGTTTCATTATTTGCTACAGCCTTGTGATGTCCTGGAGCAAAGGCAGAAGAAAGCCAAGTAATGAATTTATCTTTTAGAAGTAATGTGGCATTTCTGTCATGTCCTTATGCTGTTATAGACAACTGCTGAATCTGGAATAATTTCTGGTCCCACTAGGAAAGTGTATGCACAGATAACTGACCAGAAAAGGAAAGCATTTATGCCCACAGCAAATATATGCTCTGAAACCAAAGTGCATCTCAGCAGAAAGTGCAGGTAAGTTCCTTACATGCCACTGGTCTCTGAAGTAGAGATCCCCACACAAGTGTATTGAGTTGCATCTCCCTGCTCCTGGCCTCCCATTTTTAAGAGATTTAAAAAATGGCAACTAATTTTCTGCTGTGTCCTTGGTGATCAAGCACAATGGTGCATTTCAGTATCTCACAGAAAATGAAAGAAGCTGTTTTCCCCATGAAAGCAGAAATAAAACTTGGATATGTGACTCAAATGTTGTAACAGAAAGTCAGACAGGGGCAGAGAAACTTGATGAATCCCCAAAGGTTTTTCAGAGGAACCACATTCAAGAAAATAACCAAGGGACTGGAGGAAAAACAAAAAATAATCAAACCAACCCACAAATAAACAAACAAAAAAATCCAGGTTAAGGGGAATATGAGATATGGCACAAAGGCTGAAGCAGAGACTAAAGACTAAGGTAAAGCCCCATATATGAATACACATAAAAACTACTTGATGAATTAATCCCATTGCTCTTTTCTTCTACTTCCAGGTATATTTACACTTATGAAAGGGTGCTGAAACAGGGTCACAACTGCATCATCAGCAGGTCCTTTGAGGTCTCTGATTAGACACGTATCAAACCCTAATAAAAGTCAATCGAGAGACATACAGAGAAGAGAACATATGGTGCAGGGGAGAAGGGTAGGAGGAAATTATATAATTAACACAAATGTTTATTGTATTTCTTTTTTCAGATGCTTATCTACAATGAGTTCTAAACAGAAGTGATAAATGCAAAAGGCTGAAATACTAAAAGGCTTGCTGAAGATGTAAGCCACCTCCACTGGAAATTAATATTTAAAAAAGAATACAAGAAAGGAAATACGTCAGTTTATCTATATTCCACATATATTAGAAGGTACAGATACTGCAAAAATGGAAAAGCTGTAACTACTCTGCGTGGTATGGTGTTAATACTTGCTTTGTGCTACATCCTTCTAAATACTAAGATTATAATCCCCAGATGTGTTCTCTACAGTGAATATTTTTTTTATTTAACTGACTAAATTGTCCATTCTCTCTCTTGTTTGAAATACTTCATTTTAAAAAAAATCTCCCTTAAGTAGAGGCAGTGGGAGACTAAAAAGGGAAAAAGGGAAAGGATATGAATTCACCTCATACAGTAAACAATTTAATAAAATGTCCCATAGTGAAAAGTCTTCCAGCCTTTAGCAACTCTATGAAACTTCCCCTTCTATGCAAGCACAATGTTTCACATGCACTTACTCGTGGAAAATAGAAACAGCATAAGTAGAGGGATAACAAAAGTTAACTCAGCTTGGCGGAGCTTGAGACTGTCAGATGAAAGGCAAAATCTGAAGGTTCTGAATTTATTATTTGGAAAGAGCCCAGTAGTGGAAGCACTCATCAAGTAGTGTTTGCCTGCTGTGAGAACACAGGCTCACTTGTTTCAAGTGATCTGTACATTTGAGGAAGAGCAGGAGACCGCACATGAGGCCTATTCTGGAGAGGCTAAACATGTATTCCTAGAATTTTATGGAGGTCTCATG